CTTTTATGGCTGACCATAAAAGCTTTTAAAACAACGTGACTTGGTTTTGAGCTTATGCCTTATAAGCTCTCAAAAGTGAGATGTTAGAAGCTTAGATGAGTTGTTTACTTGTTTAGGTAGAGTTGTGAATTGGATGTGCAAATTTTTTTCCTTCGAACTGAGATTATGTTGTGACAACTTCTTTAACCTCTATTTATTGTAATCATTAAATGCCTGCCAAGTGCTAACATCGTACGCAATCGTTTTATTTTCTTTGAACAGTTCAACTTTGTTATGAAATATCACCTTAAATATTAAACTCTAGAAACATAATATGAGATGTAGGTGGTTAATAAAATCTTGCCAGCAACATGTTTTAAGTTTTAACACGGCTCAGCCAAACGCCCTATTAATCGTCTAAAGGAGAAAGGAATTAGTCGTGATCGTGAAGCAATACCACCTTTCTTTTTGGTTAATACCTTTTTTCCAACTGAATGTGATTTTCCTCATTTTTTCAGGTAATTCCAAACTTAGAGTTCTGGGCCAGCTTACCACACAGGGCACAGGTACTCCCTTATGATAATTTTCTCCCACCGTTTTCAATTTTGACACTCAACTCTCCGTTTTTTCCAAATTCATGAGAGTTTTATATTCTCCCTATCCTTGACAGAGTTTGTATCACTCTTTAATACGGAGATTCAGAGGACCTTCCTATAATTACAGAAGCTCGTATTCACCCGTTAACTTTTGAGCTCCACCGGCTGCCAAGTTTTTTGTAAGTCTAGCCCAAAAAGTAGTTAAATTCTTTTGTACTGATTTGTGGTAGCATATCAAGATGAAGTATGTACTTTTATTCAATTGTTTTATTACTGTTAGTTTCGTATAAAATGCAGCTCAAATGTTCAATTTTATTTTTNGAGAGAAAGATGTGGATGAGAAGTAGATTTTCTAGCTGGCATCTGGAGGATTGTGTTTTTTTGTGTGCAACTTTTGCTATTTTCAGGAAGCCACACTTAATTTGATAAACTTTTTGTGCTTTACTTGTGAATTACTTCATACAGAAATATTTGTGAATTGTGTAATTCCTTGATTTTCTTGGTTGAACTTTTTGTGTAATTGACCTGAAATGGTTGGCACAAAACTGTCTTGTGGTACTTAAAAGTTAAAACTGGCCAATCATGTATCTTGCATTATATATAATATGTGGTTTGGTATGAATTAGTTAGTTGTTCCTTATCTAATGTATTAATTAATAATATCGCGTTATATTATTTTTTTCTTGTGGCTTTGCTTTAAGTCTCTTCTTAAAGTTTAATGTTGGATTTTTTTATTTTTTATTTTTTCCTACTGGTTCTAAGCCTGGAAGCTTTACTTTCCTTTGGATGTAATTTTGGAGTAGTTTGACAGTGAATTTGAAATTTATTGAAGTCAGGATGTAATTCTTTTCCTCAAGGATCATTGAATTTGAAATTATTGAAGTCTCTATCAGGTTGGATGTTTTAAATATCATACCCATAGTCATACTGGCCTAGCCAATACATGGTATTACGGTTCCACAAATAATATTGGAGGAATTACGGATTAGCAAATATTACATTATACATATATTTTAGTATCAAGTATGCAGAAAAAACTACATTTACTAAGTTTTAACTTTTCAATTAGATAAAAATAATACTACTAATTTTTTAAAGTTAATGATTAACTTCACTTTCAATATATTTTTTTTATTTATTGGCCTTTATTTTATCCGATGTTCTTTGGTATTTTGGTTGGAATTTATATTTTATAGTACTAACTCCGATACAATTCGGTATACTTTTTTTTTGTGTGTGTGTGTGTGCGTGTATTTATATCGGAGTAATAATGCTGGCAATCCGCATGGCCTGTTGTGTTTTAAACATTGATAAGGACATCAAGTTTTTCATAGTTCACTTTTCAAAATTACAAAGAATTCATTTGGATCTAAATTATATTTTATATATTTTACAATAAAAAAATCCACAATATTCAAATGGGATGAAGAAAATAATAATGTTCAGCAAAATCCCATTGGTTGAAGGTTTGTGGGTGATGGAAGAAAATCTCAAGTACCAACCACTGAAGGTGAAGTTCTACCAAAACGTTACCAAATTTC